TATATATGGAATTCTAGATCAATGCAGATAAATAAAACAGCAAATATCAAATTCTTTTATAAAAATTTGAAGGTTTACTTCTGTCGTGGCAAGTTTTACCAAGAATGCAGAAACACAATGGAATAAATGCACAGAAAGTCTGCRTGTATGGTTGTCAAATGATTTAATCTTGAGCAACAACAAACAGAGGTCAATCAGGAAATCTGTCGAGTTGTGGCTGACTCGTCAGCAGACAGCAAGCCAATAATATAACATCATGATAACATCACGTGACAGTTTACAACCAATCACAGTCCGACAAATGTACCCACCTAAACCAATAACAGGGCTCTCAGCCTAAAGAAGTTATCATAAGAYATATGAGTACTGGACAGCGTCAAGGTGAAACAGATWTAAATAATTWGTCCATAACAACTTCTTATAAGTGTCCACGCTCTGTCCAAGTCAGAAAAAGTTTAATTTATATAAATTTAGAAAGGCAGAAACGTGTTGCTGCTGAGTGAGAAGTTTTTTTAGCTCATTTATGCTGAGTTGTTTCTCTTTTTATCTCCAGCATGACATCCAACAGTACGAACAGCACTCTGTGCCAATCAGGCGACAACATCTGCAGTAAGAGCTCTTATTTCTCCTCCAGTTATCAGTCAGTACCTGTCAGATTTTACCCTCAAACCACCTTGCTTCATGTTGAAAATCTCAATTTATTTTTTCCTCTCATCTCGTTTACAAATCTGCTTCTCAACGCATCACAAAACTACAAATTTTACTTTTTGAAATTTGTCACAAACATCCAGAATCAAGTGAAGCTGGAAAGTCTTTCGGAACTCTAAAACAGGCATTAAATGATCAAAATTTCTGTTTATTGTAGAGAGCTGACAGAATCACAACAAAATCATATTAAAAGCTTTCATAAACACAGAGACCTGCATGGAAATGATGTTGACCTGCTGCCTAAGCACTTATTTTAGCTGTCTTTATAATACTGTTTTTACACGACATAAACAAAACTTATTTCTAACAAAGATCCTGATATAAATATGTATAACCACAATTATTTAAAAGCAGGGCAGCAGTTGAAAGTATTGTTTTGTTCAGTGGTTTAAACATCTGAAACATGAATCAGCTTTATTTCCTGTAACACACTTTTCTTATTCAAACATTATAAAAGGCCCACATTTATGGACAGCCATTTTATTCAAAATACAATAAATAAATAAATAAATAAATAAATAAATATTCCATCAAATACATAAATGTC